CCCAAACCATTACAATTTTGGGATGCACCTAGTGGCATGACATTTATTAGGTATAAAGACTTCTGAGTTCTGGTGCATTTGTGAGTGCAGGGGTCATTATGTTACCGCTATGCGGTATCTAGTTTGATTTCATTGTTAAGCTGATGAGTTACCGATTTAAGGCCCCCCACATACTCAGGCATTCTTCACTCTGTGGAGGTCCGCACAGACTCAAAGCAAGCAGATGTTTGCCGGACAGGTCCGCACAAAAATCAGTTTTTACGTTTATGTCCACATATTCTGCGTTACACAATAAGATGCCTGGCAAGTTCTCATCGAACTGTTTTGTATGCGACATCAAGCAGATAAGGTCGAGAATCAGAGCCATCTTGTGAACAAAATGGAGTCAAATTTTGAAAACATAGAAACTTATATGATACACAAAAGAGGGAATATAAGGACTTTCAGAGAGCAAGAAATTTTTGGGAGGAAATAGATCAGACATTGGGCAAGGTAAATATTACATTCTTTTCTTTTGTTTATTTTTTAAAGCTAAAAGCCAAGCTATCTCTTCCTCCTCGACTGTTGACTCCATGACTAAATTTGTGAGAAATTAAGAAATTTGCCATGAGAGAATTAGACAATCAGTAAACTCGGGTATTAAGTTTCAACCGTTTGCAACCGTATGCGGACAGTTAGTTTTATCTAATTTCCCTCTGGGATCAATCAAGTATTTTTGAATTTGAATTTAATTGAACTGAATTGTTTGTGTGGAGTCCACACGGCTCATAGAGTAAGCACAGTACACAGTTTCCTCCACCAAGGAGGTGATGTTTTCAGTAGTGTTGGTTTGTCTGTTCGTCCAGCTATGCACAATTCTCAAACAGTAATTAACAGATTTTCATGACATTTCCAGGACATGTTGGAGTAGTCATAGATGATCTGACAACATCTACCAAATGAGAGTGCAGCTACTGAGCTGTGATTGGAGGAGTATATTGGATACTGATTGTCTGTCACAGTATGACCTCATCACTCTGTTTTAAGGGCGTATTCACACCTGCACTGTTTAGTCCAGTTTAATCGAACTCTAGTTTGTTTGCCTGGAAATTCTGGTTCGTTTGTGGAGGTGTGAATGCGTAATCGAACTCTGATTCAGATCAAAAAACGAACACTGGTCCGCCTGAAAGCCTAGGTCTCGGTTCGATTGAAACGAACTCTGGTGCGATTCGACTGCATGTGTGAACGCTAAGAAGGCCAGAGACCACTCCAAAAGCAGGAAGCGGACTATACTGCATGACATTCTGAGTAATAACAGTAATAAATGTAATTATATGGTGTAAATACCTTGCTGGACGACTGTATAAGGTGGACATCATGACTGTGGAGCTAGACGCGCTCCTACTCGATTAACACAGAGCATCCTCAGCCGCCTTGTGTGTAAAACAACATTCTCCGTGGTTCCGCCTCATCTTCCTCTCATGCTGAGCTCATTGTTGAAGACAATTTGTTTAGCACATTTACCAAAAACCAAAAATAAACGCTATAACCACTAAAATGTAACATTACTATCATTTGTTTACATTTTGTGAAGAAGGAAGTTGCGCTCCATGTCTTCTTCTGAGGTTTTCATGTTGATTCCTTTAGTGGTTCTTTGTGCAGCGCCCCCACAGGTGAGGGCGGGAACAGGTTGTTTACAGGGTTTAGTTCGGTTGAGAAAGTGCAGTGT